TTGAATGATGCTCACTAAAAAAACGACACGTGATCTTGAACTCTAAGCGCATAATGGCTGTGCAGAGAATTAAAGAGGTGGCGATACAGTTGGAAAAAATCAAAACAAAGCTGTTGACATAGCAACAGGAGTCCTTTTTCAAGTTGTATGCTGTGAATCAGAATCATTAGTTTTGCGGCCTTTTTCAACAAGGAACGAAAGGCTGTGGCATTCAAAGCCAGAGCGTGATGCCACTCTGTAATGCCGAAGATGGTGCAAGAAAAACATTTTAAATAGCATGCAAAACCTGCTGGGCAAGGGCAAAGTCATCTGGGAAGGACAGGCAGTTTCTTGGCCAGTGCTCTTGCTCAGCAGCATTGTATAAGTAGAGAAGGGAATAAGGAAAAGAGACAGAATGGGCAAGGAATACGTGGACAGGAACAAGTGGAGAAGCGTGAGCGTAGGGAAGAGACTCCCCCAACCTAGACAATCTCAACCTCTGAGGGTGTAGTTTTATGTAAGCGTTAATGCCAACACAATGAGTGCTGCCCTATGCTTTTCTGGGTCAGTTCACCTGAATCCACACTGTCAACAGTTTGTGACAACGCAGTGAGATCTGACTGAGGTTGAAACTAACCCACCAAAATGTTAAGCTCTGAATATGATGCAGATGTGCCACTGTACTTCTGTCTACAAATACTCATCAGCTGCTTCCACTTGTTTGTACAACTCCTGGGAAGCAGGTAGTCTGCCTTGCAGCTGTGCAGCACTGAGGAGCCCCTCTCATCCCCAACTCAACCTGCCACGTTTATGGGTCCTGCATGGAGAAAAACCACATGAAAGAAGATGATGAAACTAGTGCAAGAACTCAGGAATTCGAAGTTTTGATGATCTGATCTTCCCATAATATATGGGAAATAAAAGGTCAGCAGTAGCTGCTGACGGTATTACAGCATGCTGGGAATAAAGCATAGTTACTATCAATAGCTGTACTTAGCTCACTGGAGATGGTAGACAAGCTGATCTCACCCAGACTGCAGAACTTGGACTTTCGAGCTGCCAACTGCGTGCATTTGCAGTTGGCATTTTTATTTTTTTTTCCCCTAAAAGCAAGGAAACAGTACTGCTCGAAAATATATAGGTTGAGAGCATCAATGCTGTTGCTGAAGCAGAACAATAACAACTTTGGCCATGATCTATACGGCTAATTTCAGGATAAAGACCCATCTATTTTTAAAAAGAGGAAAAGACCACAAAATTACCTAATTTTATATTCGTCAGTGATTACAGTCTATACTGCACAATGTTTCAACTCAGTAAGCGTGCAAATAGAATATTTTATTAAAGTAGCAGACAGGAGGGATCTTTTCTTCTTTATGTGCCCTCTCCACTGCAATGGATTTTATCAGGTTGCAGTCTGATGTGATAGCTTTCTTCTTACCTGAAGGGCCTGACAAATTTTAAGACAATTATTTCCTAAAACAAACACTTATTCCTCTATTTTAGACTCTACTTCCAGTTTATTGCTTGTTTGCTTTGTTTTAAGCCACAAAAATGGTCATCTGAAAGCTTTCGGACTAAAGAGTCCAGAAAAGAAACATGTATCATCCATATAAGATGGGAATCCTGGGATCTGTAATAGCAACTAAACTAGTTTTCTGCTGCATCTACTCAAAGCCAAGCCAGTACTTCACTCTAAAGGAAGACACTTCATATGGAGATAAAGCACGAATGCTTGAGCACAGCTACATCCAACCCAAACATCACAGCTACTGCTTGCATTACCACTATTCCCAGTTACTTGTGGGTTAACTGAAGCACAGAAGAAATCCAAGATACAATAAATTCCAATCCTAGCCCTTCTCAGATGACGATGTTCAAGGCTGAAACTTCCCCTGCTGCCAATAAAGGGCAGGGATCTTCTGAGGAACTCAGCATGGGGAAATGGATGACAACGTCCACAGGCTGCTGCCTCGGCTCACGTCATTCGTACCATGAAAATTAGCAAGCATTCAGACATTTTAGAGAAACAGGAAGGGAGATGCTTCAAAAATTGAAGAAAGCGAATCTCTCTCTGAATATTTTACCCATAGCATCAGCGGTAAAGGTAAGCAAAGAGTCACGATTTTACTAACAAATGAGAAGGGATACATAAATAAGAGATAAGGCAGAGAGGATCTTAAGATAGCCATTCTGTTTTTTGCAGAGAACATAAAGCAGGGACCAGCACAGAGATTCAAGGAGATGCTGATCTGTCTGAAGTATCTGATGAGGAAAAACTACTTCAAAGAGGCATTCTGAACAGACGGACGCAAGTGGACACAACGCTTTTGGCAAAGGTAGAGGAAAACATTTCATTCATCAAGATGCAGAAGAACAAGGCCTTACTAAAAAGGATTTCAGCTGTGGGGAGGGTTGGAGATTGAGCCTCAAAAAATAAAGGGAAATAATAATTGGAAAAACAAAATGTGTGACAAAGACTAAGTAAAACCCCAGACTTATAGTCAGAACTGCAATACTTAAGCAAGGCTACCAACTTGCAACCTATCCCGTGTATGGAGAAAGGGAGAATGGAAGGTGTATATAGTAATTTAATAGTTCAACCAATCCACATCATCCTTTTATATTTCAAACATTAGGTTCTTTTTCCACCAACCATTTCATCAATTGCTTCTCTCCTCAAGCTTTAAGCTGTAAGGATATATACACACATACAAGCACACAAACATAGCATCAGATTCCACCAAACCAACACTATGAAGGATATACAGGAGCAGCACTTCTGCTTAAACGCTGCACCCAATTCTGTTGCATGGGCAACGTTAGGAAATCAGGGCTCCTTTATCATTGGACCAATCACTGGAAATGTAATTGACATGAATTATCAAAACTGGAACTCCTCAGAGCACCTAAGCAAGTCAACACAAAGACAAGCCCACTTCCTAAAACTGCCCATTATACTCCTTAGCGAGTCAACGTTTTGTAGTACTCACCTTTATTCCTGTGATGGCAAACAGGAACCTCCACATCCCCATGCCTTTTCTTTTTAAACACTGCTTAAGGAAATCAGCTTTTCTCTTTCTTTATTAATGTTACTGCCCACATGACAAACACACTATTCACAAGTTACACTATTTTTTCTTTTTTTTTTTTCTTTTTTTTTTTTACCATAGACTCAGTGAAATTAGTAAACAAGATCAGTTGAAATTGATGGAGAAGAAAAAACTGCTTCTGTCATAACACATTAAGCAGGAGAGTGCCTACTTTCATACTCACTATAGAGTAAAATAAACTAATTTCTCTGCTCTGAATTTTTAATTTTAGAAATAAAACCAGCTTTTAAGATCCCTCTTTTTTGGTTAGTTTCACATGGTATTTTTTCACTTGTATTTATTGCTGAAAGATCAATTAAAATTCTTTTGTGGGAAATCATTCCCATCAGTACAATTAGTCCACATAATTGCTCCCGCAACCACCATTAAATACCCATTTTACTTTTTATTTAGACTTAATTACCAAGCTCCAAGAAGATGCTTGGTAACTGATGGTTAAGATGCTTTTACTTTTTACGAAAATCATCTTCTGCCTTCCTCCTACGCATTCTTCCATACTACAAATACTGTTTGACCCTCAGCTATCTCAAAAAAGTACACGTAGTCTTATGAAGCTTCCAGTTAACCCCTATTGTCCACTAATGCCTCTTTCCCCACCTAACTTGCTGAAGACAAGCGTGGTTTTAGTTTGGCATGAATTGTGGCCTGATAGATATAGACTCACAATTTGTTTTCATCCCATGTGCCCCTACAGCTCCAAAAACCTCCATAGATTTATCTGTGCCTTATTCTCTCCTCTGCCTTTCAGGTGGAAAAGAATCCCTGCCACTGATTTATCAGGAAGAATTCTGCTTCATGGTGCTGTTACGTATCTATTTTAATCAGTAGCTGATCCATTTGGAGCTAGTGCTCTCATCATTCCCTAGAGCCTTTCACAGATAGCCCCTTTCATTCAAATACTGCTAGTAGGTATTGTAATTCAATTCTATTCTTGCATGTAATTCACTAACCTTCAGCAAGATGCCTGTCAAGCAAGTCAATATTTTACACTCCAACTTGAATCCATTTTTTGCAGTGTATCAAAATGCAAATGAATTTTTTCCTCCTAAGAGTCAATTCTGAGTAGAACCAGTCTGGAAATTGGAACACCTAAAGAAAATGGCAAACTAGCTGTTGCAAGAATGCGATCAACGTATCTCCCGAAATCCAGAGATCGCAAGTGTCATCAGAACATCTAGTTACAAGCACATTAAAACTCCCTGAGGAGAAAGGAAATGCAGAGTTGGTTAAACATTTATAGGTACCTCTAAGTTTCAATTGCTGCATGCATAGCACAATGCAGTTCCCTCCTGAAGTGATACCCGCTCTGCTTTTAAGACTTTGTACAGACACCAAAACCTATTTAATCCAAGTGAATAGAAGTCTCATCGTGCCTTTCCCAGTGACATCAAGAAATCCCCAGAACCATGCTTTACTAACTTAGGAAAACATCAGCCCATGCACAGGGATCATAGCTGCAGCTATGGGAAACATGCACAGCCACTGTTCTACAGCACGCCTCAGGTAAAACCAGTTGAAACTCCCAGTATGGTTTTCTACTATTCATAAGAAATGCTGTAAATTTGAAAGAACAACTATCAACATGTTAACACGTTAACCTTGCTTCAAGACTCACAAAGCTACGATTTGCTTGGTTGCCTTAGCTATCTCAATAAACACATTGTGCCTCTCACTTTCATGAGCTTTTTTCTCTGATCCATGGGCAAATTAAAAAGTCAGGCTGCAGGAAGGAGTTGACGCTCGGGTATCATGATGCCTTCTGGGTGACTGCACATTTGAAAAGCCTTACTCAGAGGCATTTTAACTGCAAAGATACTGCACTGCTAAGAACAGCAGCCAACCTTGAGAAAGAAGCAGCTTAAAGGAAAGAAGAACAATATCTCTTTGCTCAGAGACTCTTTCACCTACCTGCACAGCCAAAGGCTAGGTGGTATCTAGAAGAGGGGCTGAATTTGACACAACACACGTTTGCCTTGGCTTCAATGCTTGCTACGGAGTTGTCCAAATTGGTAGACCACAGCTTCACTAGAGAAACAGAAAAAGAATTAGTAAGCAAAAACTCCCAACTCCATCTGAAAAGTATAGAATCTCATTCATTATTAAGATTATGAACAACCTCATTTGCCAAGCTGTTAACAATTAGAAATGATCAGCTTCTAACTGATGGCTACTGAGCCTGATAACTTTCCCAGCTACATCAACACTCTACTCATCCCCATACACTCAGGAGATGTGGAAGGCACACATCCCACACATGACATCACACACGTGATGGGTGCGAACAGATGACTCACTGTTACGTTATAATCTCAACGTTTAAGATCACTGGACTGCAGATCCATATAACCAGGAGTGTTTAAACCCCTTTTGTTCTTTGTTCCTTTGCTGAGATGTACAGAACTCCATGCTCCAAGGCAGAACTGCTTTGGACTTAATAAATGCACCTAATTGTATGCTTAAACACAAGCGAGTGAGAACAACTTGTTTTATTCTCAAGAAACTGGCACAGACAGAAAAGAAATCAGTATGCTAGCTTCCTATGATGATATATTTCCTTGGTACAAAGAACTCTACTGTTTCTCAACACTGCTGTGTGAACACTGATTAAACTATGTTGTACAGAACAAGCTCTTCCCCAAAAGTACTACCGTGCTTCACAGGAAGATCAACAGAAAACACCAGTGGCTTTTCAAAATTTAGCTTTTTCCTCTCTCTACAAAAACTTCAAGCATCGTTTAACGTTCAAGGTGAAGATAGGTGCTCCCCACATGGTCAGTCCACAGAATGGTTTGAGTTTGAAAGTATCTTAAAGATCCTCTAGTTCCAATGCCATTGTGGTGGATAGGGCTGTCACCCATCAGATCAGATTGCCCGGAGCCCTGTCCAACCTGGCCTGGAGCACCTCCAGGGATAGGGCACCCAGGCACCCACAGCTTCTCTGGGCAGCCTGTAACAGCACCGCACCTGTGAAGAATTTCTTTCTCGTATCTAACTTCCACCTACCCTCTTTTAGTTTAAAGCCCATTAACCACTGTCTAATTCCTACAAAAAGTCCCTCCCTAGCTTTCCAGTGGATTCCCCCTTTATGTACTGGAAGGCCACAATGAGGTCACCCTGGAGCCCTCCCTTCTCCAAGCTAAACAAGCCCAACTCCCTCAACCGTTCTCCATAGAAAAGGTGCTCCAGCCCTCTGAGCATCTTTGTGGCCCCTCTCTGGTTTTGCTCCAACAGCTCTGCAGCCTTCTTGTGCGGGGGGCCCCAGCCTGGACACAGTACTCCAGATGGAACAGGGCAGAGCAGAAGGGGACGGTCACCTCGCTCACACTGACTGATGACCACGCTGCTTTTGGTGGAGTTGAAGATAGTTGGAAAATGTACACCATTGGCACAGGTACAGATGCCCTGCACACAGCATACAAGCATCAGCAAGGTTAATTTAAGTCTACAGCAAGCTGTGCTGTACTTGAGCATCACAAACTGTGTTCTGAGGCAGAGCAAGCTAAAGCTAAGAAGCTGAGCGTGTAGGAGATACACAGAGGCTCAAACCCTGTAACAGCTCCAAGAGCTGGTTAGGCTTATTCAGATCTGTGGCCATCTCTGCCATCTTTTGATAGAAGGCTTGCTTTGGAGGTGAAGGAGTGAGTAAAAATGGCAAAGAGTAGGAATCTTGTTTTCCGCTGTAGTCAGTTAAGCAGTGAAATAAGAAGTCTCATGTTGAGTTGGAATGGACTTGCATCCACCTGCAGAGCGCTCCTCTGTACTTTCTCCTGGTCATTCATTCCCTGGAGCTCTGAAGGAAAAGCAAGGCTTCAGTGTGGATTATTGGGGGTGTCTTAAGTCAAGGAAAAGAAGGAATGTTGGCAGGTTCTTTCCAATGCTTCTACTTTTTAATAGTACTGCCATTAATGAAAAGCTGGCAATGTCTGAACATACCTTGGAGAACGGCTACAGGAATGGAGGAAACTGCTCAGAGCACACCAACACATCATTTTCAAATACAGCACTATGCTGGCATCTGACAGCTGCCTGGAACCATTACAAGGCAGCGTGAAGACAACAGAAACACAAACACTGATGCATACCGGATTTACATAAAGCCATTACGTAAAATTCAATGAAAACAGCACCCACGCTGTTGTTGGTTTTCAGAAGTAAATCTATCCTTATTTACCTGAGCTGTAATATTCACCTTAAACATCTAGCCGCGTTTGTAAATAAAACTAACAACCTTGTAAACATGGCTTAAGATGCTCTTTTTTTCCCCAAATCAGACTGGAAGATATACCTCCTCCACTGTATTTCTCACTGGGGGACAGAAGGGAAGCACAAAGCTAGGAAAGATAATTTTGCACTGTAATATAACACTAGTATTTTACTTTAATGAACAGACACCAAGATATATACACTCTAAGTTGCAGTGGCAGTGGAGGACATCACATTTATGAATGTGACAGTATAGGAAGCAAATAATGCTGTCACTGTAGAGGACGCTGTTGGCAGACACTGCTTAAACTTGAGGCACGCAGAAAAGTTAAGTGTTCTCACAATTTAGAGCTATGTTGTTCCCAAATCCAGGAATAAAAGCAAACAGACTCATCTTGAAGCCTTCCAGCTTCGACTGACATTTAATGCAGTGTCCAAAGTAGCCTACTTCCTTCTTGAAACCATCTCTACTAAACAGCCTCAGGTCTCAGTTTTGATGCAGAAGTTACATGAGGGCTACGATTCAGCTTCAGTTTTTTTCATTCAAATCTTCAGGTCACACTGCATTGCCATTTATCTAGAGAAGAGTCAACCTGCGTGCTCAAAGCCATCATAATATTCGTTCCAACTGACAGATGCAGATTAGAGTCTGCAGCAATTTCTGTGATCTGCCTGCTGTGGGATATAGTAGGCTTCAATTATATCTTAGTCAGTGCCATAAAAAAGGATATATGTAACGTGTAACAACACATAATGAAACCTGTCAAGTTCTACCTGCAACTGTCCATTATTTTTTCATAAAGAACTGACAGTTTAATAAAGCATAATTCATAAGAGTTTATTTACTGTAGCTTTCAGAGCTGAGGTCGAGGCAGTAATTATACAATATACAGATGTCTTTATCACTAAGAATTGTGTGAATGAGGCAAACAACCATCTGAGATTGGCTAGTTCTACAACATGTTCTCAAAGCACATTTCCTAGTATTGCTGCTACTGACAGATGCAGTTCTAAGTGGCCAAGTGTCCACTCCCCACCACACAAGAAAGAAGATGCTCTGGAACAGCCTTCTCCATTTCAAATGCGTAAGTCTTTTTAAGATTCTTTTTATTCAGGACCAAATTTATAAATTAATCTTCTGTAGACCAAACACTAACTAATATAGGAGGTGGAAACCTGCATTGCAGTAACTGAAGGGGCTGATGTATGAAATCAGCACACTGATGGTAAGGTCAGGAGCACGATATAAACTCCGGATTGTTAGCAGGCAATGACTCCTTGCACACTGAAAGTTTAAGACTGTCAGTCAGGTATCTGGGTTGCCACTTTACCTACCAGCATCATCTTGACCTTTTGAGGCACTCCCAGTTGAATACAATGGCCCTTGAAGCTCCAGGAAATTATTGAACTGCTATTAGCCAGGAAAACGAACAACCTGAAAGTTCAGCCTGATATTTGAAGAGCTGTAAACATCTAAAACTCCAGTGAGAGTCAGTAGAAGCTGAAGAAGCTAACTATCATTGAAAATGAGGCACCAAACAAACCTCTGATATCCTCACCACAGCTGGAAACATGCTCTGACCTGCAGTTGTCAGAACACTTCCATGAGGCCAACTGAGTGAACCTATGTTGCCCCATCACAGGTACTATGAGAAACAGCTGCAGGATTGGCATCCATGGACTCACCAAGGAAATAATTTTCTCTTGTATGTAATAAAACAAATACTTGCTTTCCCCCATTGTCAAGAGGCAATGAAAAGTAACCTTTCACCACAGCTCAGAACCCTTGCAGCTGTTTCTGTTCTGCTCCAGCTCTCCATTTTGAGCTGGAAATAGTGAAGGGATTTCAGCTAAGAAAGGACATAAAGCCAACTCTCCTTCTATGATTTAACTAGTCATTATTGCTAGCATCTCTGCAAGCATCAGAGAGCTTCAGAAAGATCAGAACAGGGAATATAGACTTGATTGCTCCAGAACTGCCTCAGTGAAGATTTAAATTCTCCCTGCATGGCAACAGGTAATATTTTGCTCTCACTATCTCATTTACTAACTTCACTCTGGCCATTAAACTACATTCTCAGCCCAGAACTCATAGCAATGTTGAGTTCAGGAAGAGCTGCAAGTCTGCCCTAGCTCCAGCACTACCCAGCACTTCAATATCATCTGCACAGTCACAAAATTAAATTCTCTCTGCTCAAAGCGCAAAACTTCACTTTTTCCTACTTACATGAGAATCATAGCTCCTGCCATTATTATGTGAATAAAAGAGCTGAAATTAAGGCCATGCAGCTTCCTTAGGCTGCTTGTATCACAAGTAAACACTAATTTTGCTGACTGCCATCTAGGTGGCATGCACCTTTGGGTCTCTATAGAGATGCTCAACTACCTTTGCCCCGTTAAGAGGGAAGTGCATGACAACCATAGACAAAACGGTGCTTTCATGCACACAGTAGCTATTTCAAGTACATTAATGCTTTTGCGCTCTCATTATCTACTATTAAAGCACAAAGATCTTCCACAAATAAGCATCCTGGATTATGTTCATTTAATGAAGAAGCTGATGCAGGACCCAAGACCCGAGGATGTTGTTTCTTACTGTATCAGAAGCATTTTATCCTTTGTGACACTTCATTCATTAGCATCCTCTTTGCTGCGTCTGAGCCCTGGCAGAGACAGTTGTGAAGCACCAATGACAGGATTATTAATCTAAAATCTCCTTTCCCAATATATACCTACTGAGGATACAGAGCGCTTTAAAAATTAGCCTCCAACTTGAAAAGACTCAGAAGAGACAGGCTGATACACAGGCAAGCAGGAAGAACTGGCTAAGCTGTCACTTTTTTGCTGGCTTGTCCTGAATGCTTGACAGAAAAATTTTACACCCATGCCTTCTAGAGAAACATGGAGAGATTAGTTCCAATTGCTCTGGTCACACCAATATCTATCAACACTGAAATTTCTTGTTAAGAAGCCCAGTGTGGCCTTAAAAGCAGATAAGGAAAAGAGACCAGGAAGAGTATGCAGCTCTTATATTTCCCACCAGATGCTGCACCTGGCCAAATATGTCCTGAATGCACATCCAGAGCTGGACAGAACAATGTCAAGCACTCATTAAGGTAAGTAGAAAGACAAAAACAGAAGTTATGCAAATTTATGAGAGAGGACAATTCATAGGTATTACCTCTTCCTCAAATTTAACCCTTTTTATGTGAAATGAAAGTTGGATACTGATGACAGTTCAATTCGGACGTTTGCTACTATTGCTTTGTACCTGAAAGACCTTAAAAGCAGTGCTTATTTCTAACACTCACACAGGGCTCCATTTATTTGCTTGTTTTGTATGCAAATCACAGGCAAACTGTGGTGGAGGTAAAAGATAAAATGTTCCAGGCCAGTTCTATTCACTAAAAAAAGCTCACCAACATGCCTTCAAAAGGCCTTTGAGGATTGAAATGCCATTTAAGTGGATCTGCAGACTTTATTACAATAATTTCTAAGTAAACGTCACTCTTAAAAACTGTTACTAAAGAAGTGAACTGTCAAGTTAGAGGCAAGAGCTTTGCTTGCAGCTGGCTTTCCACAACTGGACAACTTGTTAGCATGCTAATAAATGTGTGTCCACCTGGTGGATAAGCTTCTTCAAATGCACAGCATGAGTGGGGAGCAAAGTGATAGAAAGGCAGATAATTTACAAGGTGAACGTTCACACTGCATTTAGGCACACACACAACACTCTTGGCTATCAGCCATAAGGGGGAAAGTGTAAAAAAAAAAAATATATTAAAAAGTACCTTATGTACAAAATAATCATTAAAGCTACATTTTCTAAATGAAATCGCCAATGACATGAACAGCATTAAATGCATTTGACTAACATTAACACAGCCTTCTTTTGAAACAGTATTTAAAAGCATTTTAGAGGTTTTCAAGGTTTAATTGCTGTGCAAAATTTATCATTTCAAAGCAAATCATGAACAGCTCTGACCAGGGCTCTGTTAGCCCATCTAGCAGAGTTCATCTCCACTGACTACAAAAGGAAATTATTAAACAACTCTAAAGCTCTTCTTGCTTGATAAGCAATTTGTTATTGTAAACACATTACAGATAAAATCTTTTTCATTAGGGATGAAGTATGTTACACGTGTTACATATTCCTCAGTGCTATCCTCTTCTTCAGATGTTTCCTGTCTCTTAGAAGAGGAATATTTACCCACAGGTAGGTTGGGAAAGAGCTGCCTTAAGGGTTCTCCAAAATCTCTTTGACCAATGGATCTTTGAGTACGGAAAGTTGAGAGTTGTTCCCAACGATCCCATTGAGTCCACTGCCCAACCTCATTAAGCTCTGGAAAAAAAAAACACCCTACACGTTGTGAAAGAGAGATGCTTCTTGTCATGCAGGACATTTAATGTTCAGACCTATAGTTAAAAACGCCTGCTGCTGTTCAGTGTCTGCTTTTTGCCTGACAACCTACTTTTTTGAAACATAAATACATGCTGTTCTTTTGAAAGGCCCTGAGGCTTTAACTCAACAAGCTTAACTAATGTTAAAACACACCTGATTTTCTTTAGTGCTCTGGAAGATGCTGGCTAGAGAGTATGTTACCCCAAAAGCTGTATGTCACACCAAGAAAACTTAATCCCAAAAAAGGCTCTCACTCTGAGTTCTGAACAGTTCGGTGGTACCTTGACACGTTACCACACCAACAACAATTCTGAAGGCAGCTGAGGAATCAGCTACTTGAATTATCACATTTCTGTTCCTCAGAGGGAATGCAGAAAGTGTAAGTCTTCTGCACAGAGACAGGGGAAAAAAAAAAAAACAATACCTTTTGCATCATCAGAGCCTGAAGCTAATAGCTTTGGGTCCATCAAGTTGAAGTCAACACTCCAGCACCTTTTCTCATGCTCCTGTTTGGAGAAAGAAGGCAAATATTTCAAGGCAGTGAGCTGTAATCTGATCAAGCAGTGAAAGAAAAATGCATGCTGTTTGCTATAAATTGCCAGGCTATTCCTGGGCCTTCTGGTGGTTTCTCAAAAACTTTTCCCCCAATCAGATTAATGCTTGTAGCATGCTAAACATGGCTTGAAAGAAGCCAGCAGCATAACAGCAATTTTAAGAACACTGATTTTTTTTCAATTTGAATTTTAAATTTGAAGCAATTATGATTTCAAGAAATATATGTTAAAGATCTGTTTTTCCAGTATGATTTGGCTGTTTTTCCAATGTGTGCTGCTAATTATTCTAACAAAATACAGCTTTTTCTCCCAGTACTGATTAAGATGTCTAAAGCCACTAGAACATCTTCTATGAGAAAGTCCTGGAAGCCCTCATCTTCATATTGAATTATTAAACAGCACTTCTGGTGTCTAATTCAGTGTTTCTCCACTCAAACATACACTTTCAAGCCTGCACACAAAACACAGAAGGGCTATATTTGTTATGCTGACATCTCGTGTGGAATCAAAAGCACTGCGCTGAATGAAACCTGAAATTCAGTCAAACCCTTTGTTTAAAGCCTATAAACAAGATGATAACATGAAAAGCTCGCCAGGACAAAGTCACTAAAGGATTTCTAATACACGTGAGGCAGATGTCAGTATGTGTGCCTTTATCTTTGTAAATCTAAATAAAAAATTCAAGTGATCCAATAGGAAGCAAAATTAGTTTGTTTTAACACAAGCAACAGCTGGGTCCTCTCTAGGCTCATTACTGAGTCTCAAAGAAATGCAAAACGTATATGGGAGGAAAACAGACAAGATTTTGTCCGGCACCATTTCTGTTTAATTGACATATGTACTGGATTAATGAGAACAAACATTGTGAATGACTAAAACAATGAAAAAAGTAAACAAGGCTTTAAGTAGGAATTAAAACTTATGTAGAACTGTCAAGAAAGAAGAACTGAAGGCTTGCCTACACAGATCAGTTTCAATGCAGTGTTCTACCTACACACCACCCTGCAGCACTTCCAACCTCACAACACCAGGCCACCTTTACTTCCAACCTCCTTGTTCTGATCGCAAGGCTCTCAGATCCGTTCAATGAAAAAAGTGTTCAAATCGCATGAAAAGACAAAGTACCACAAAGTTATCACAAAATAGGTCTAATTGTTGAGCTCAGTCCACATATCCACACACTGCTCTGCTGAGCACAGGACCGTACTGGGAAGCCTTCTGCCTACAGTTCCATTCTCCTAGGCTTGCCACATAAGCCTGCATTTGGCTCTTCTGCTTTACAAAGACCCATAACAGTAAGCACTGCAGGATTTCACAAAAGGCTTTTGACAAAGACAGACGTGGAGCAGGTACGGAGAGAGCCAGACAAAGATTTCTGAAGAAGGGTGAGACAAATAAGTTCCAGGAACTCATTTCTCCCTGTGCAAACTCCCTACCTAGAAGCAGCAGCAAGACTGGTGGCAAGAAAACATCAACTGCCTCACGACTGTGACGAGACAGAGCTGCCTCACTCAGAGGAAGACAGCTCAATAACATCACATGGATAAGACATTTGTCAAACAGAAGCTGCACCTATTTCACCTACTGCTGGACTAAAAGCAGCATCTCAATCTGAACGCTGCTCCCTCGACACAGTCTATAGTGCAGAGAAGCGTTGCTTGCTGATTACATGTTACCTGGTAGACCTTGGATCTTTGTCCCGTGAACCCATCCCATAGGATGACTGTGCCTTCATAGTCGCTGCTGGCTAGCAGGTTCTTGTGGTAACTACTCCAGCTGATACAGCTTTAAAAAAAGAAAATAAAAAGCCAGGTCAGATTTTCATTAAGTCGTACCTTGCAATACGTCAGGTGATTAGACTTTAAAAAGCGTGCAACACTTGATGATCTTGAAGGTCTTTTTCAACCTAGATGATTCTGTGATTCATTCAGTCCATGCCACTGAAACACTTGAGAAAGAACAAAACCAAAAACCACCAGTAACAACAAACCTCCACCCACAAGCTAAAAGAAAAACATCATATAGGAGTGAGTGACAGAATGATTTGAGTTAGTTATTTTTTGGATACATTCATCTCTAATTTAGCTATTGTCCTGGCTTTAATTCCTCAAAAACTCTCACAGAGAGCTTAGTGTTTGATGACCTAACTTCTTACCAATAGCTACTTCTTTATTATTACTACAAAGATAACTACTTACCTAAGAAAAGCTATACACGCAAAGCACAGGCCTGCCTAGAAGGCAAAACAGTCTTGCTCCCTGGCACATACATAGTTCTGTATACACATATCTACTTACATAAGCCTGTAACTTCTGAAAAAGTATTTCCAAATATCAGCAAATGTGGAAAGCCCACTTCTTATGCAGAAGAAAACAGCAGTTTGTTTGCTATGGGCCATTTAGGAAATGCTGCTGACTGAGAAGTGCATTGCATGGGTTTATATCTTAACGGAATTAAGTAGGCATAAAAACTAAATGACAGTTCCACTGACAAACTAACTGCTAGCAGACAAAACAGGACCAACACTACTGCCAAGTCACATTCATATCGCTCTGGCACTATGCCTTCCGCTCTGCCTCCTGAAAATGTGACAGAGGTAAGCAAATTTGTAATACTTGCTCACCAATTTTTGGACCATCTGGCACAAAAGCACACCAGTTGGTATCAACCGCTACGCATGCAGCAGAAACTGAACTGACAGAGCCAGTTCACGCAGGTCAAGCCACTCCGACACAGTTAACTAGATTAGGGCAGCCTCGGGACCAAGTTTTAACCAACAATACAGCTAAAAGTCCAGGATTGCCTAACTTTTTAGTCCCCCTTTGATTACTGCAGCTGCACTTTGAAATATGGTGTAGATGCATGGAATCACTTGGGAGTATTTTACCTTGGCAAATTCTTGGTTCCACTGTACACTTGTATCCTGTTTTCCTCAGGAATAAGGCACTTGAATATGGGAAAATCCTTTTCCTTTGTTAATGCAATTTAAAAATATAAACACCATTGTTCTTTGATTAGCACAGCTCTGGTGTCCTACTCTTGACAGTGCTCAGATTTACTGGGGGTGTCAATTTTAAAACTACAAGGGGACTATAAGTACCAACCGCTAATCTCAGCTGACTGCTATTTAACTGTAGCACCAACAAGTTTATTTGAGTAATGTGAAGCAAGAAACCCAGCTGGTTTCTAAAACAAATTGAAAGAAATATGTGAAAGAAATAACATGCTGTCAGTGCTTGCATCAACAGGAAACTTCGCTGAGTGATCCAAGCCTTCTAGCTCTGCCTTGCTCTTCTGTACACATTAATCTAACTTAAAAAGAGACCAAGCCATCCAACAGGACCAGTTTTCAACAAATCTCTCACACCACTGCAATGCTCAGAGAAAGCTTTCAGAACTCTCCTTCCTCAGTGCATTACTGGCAACTTCCTTTAGCACAGCTGCACTCCTTGTGCTCACCTCTACCAACGTAGAGCCTGTTCTCACTCTTGGACATTTATTTCTTGCAACAGCCATCTACTACTTGCAAAACTTCACATTCAGAAATTTCAAAGTTTCACTTCATATAAATCATTATCTTGTACCACCAGGTGCTAAAAGAAGGGCTGAGGCATTACTGCTCAGGCTATGCTTTTCCTCAATAAGTCATTAATTAGAAAGTGTGTCTTCTGCCCTTGTAGGTACCATCCCCAAATGTATCATTAAGGAGATATCATCATTATGTCCATGCTACCACCTCTGGGTGCCAACACAAAGGCAAATCTTGAGTCGATGATTTACTTGAAGCTTCATTCTGAGAATGAAGTGGCTCCCTGTGGACCAGATGCAGCTGGCAGGCACTGCCCGCCAAGGACTGCAGCAGTCCAGAGATAACCATGGCTGACATCTGGAGTCCTGCTACTGGGTGACCACTGACGGAAGAGGCAGCAGCTCACAGCCCTACACAGCTACAGCACAAGGCCCTGGGCTGGGAGCAGTCTCCAAGCACTGGCAGGGGGCAGGCACTGCACCATACCTGTGTGTTTAAACCTGTTCCTCTCGTCATCTTATCTTCATTCAAGCCAGAACTTCAAGGAGACAGCTTAAGAGAAACATATCTAAGTTTAGCCATCATAGAAGAGCAGAAAGAATGCAGCACAGGGCCAAATCTCTGAAAAAGCACTCTTCCATCCAGACAGCTCTGAGAGCATGTCAGACAGGCAGCATCAGCAGGAGCAGAGAAAGGCAGATGGGCAGGTGCCAGCCTGGCTGATTAGAAATGAACAATGAAGAGGGTAACTGTGTAACCACATAGTGTAAATAATAATAATAATAATAATAATAATAAATCACCCCTAATGATGAAACTTTAGAACTACTGAGTAGATAGAAAAATATAAAGGTCAGTTTAACAGTGCTGTTTGAGATGCGCTAGACCAAAAAATGCCTAAGGATGTAAGGAATGTCAGGCTTGTAAGAAGTAATAGATTATCACAGCAATCAATATAAACAGAGAAAAATGAAGGGTTTCTGTGCCCTAAAGCATGTCCATTAGATCTGGCACAGCAAAGACATTCTGCACCACTTATCCTAATAGTGTTAACAAGGGGTTAACACTCACTTGGAAACCATTTGTGGATAGACTGGGAGGGAAAACAGGAGCTGACAGGTGAAAAATGTTTTGGGATTTGCAGCAACTAAGTGGTTCAATTAACACCTTTTAAGTCACACACACCATAAATCTTTCATTTTTAAGGAATATGATTAAAGGATCATAATAAGACAAAGACAATCTTGTTCCACCTCTCTGCTTTAATTCCCCCCTCATCACCACCCAACTCTCTTTACAAAGTCTGAAATCAGAGCGTTCTCCTTGACATTCAGTACTTGAGCTTCTTTATGATTTAAAGCCTCAAATAACTTTTCGTAGAGAGCAATTGAGGGTTGGAACTGAGAGGACAGCTCCTTCTCCAGGTAAAGGACACTTTTTACCTAATTGTTCTTTGTATCAAAATAGAGTAAAGGCTGCCAAGAGATGAAGAACAAGTTGTTCTGAGCACACCTACAGCTATCTCCTTCACGTGGCTTCTTTGGGATCTACAGAGTGTTGGGATGGTACTGCAGATGCTACTGAGGAGAGGCTGATCATTTTCCCGTGCCCAACACAGGCAGTTTTGTTGAAATTTCGAAGGCCTTTTATCTTCTTGGGTTCCTGTAAGACGTTATCATGGATAACAAACTGAGCGAGACTCAGAAATGCATGGGTGAGCCAGACTGCGAATGGGAAAAGAAAGGGCAGAGGGGAGATGGGCCAAAAATGCAGCTTACTCAGTCCTCAGGTGAGTTAAGCACAAAAACCCCAGGAGTATACAGAAATGACCTTCTGTAGACAACCTTCGGATAGCCTGCAGCCACATACAGGGGAAAAATTGAAACGCGGAGGATATGATGTATGATATAAAAGATAGATACCTAGGGCAGAGATAATGCATAATTAACGGGGGGTTGTGAAGGTCATCTCTTATTTTAAATACTAGTGGCCATACTTCTCAGTTTCCACTTTGTTCTTTCGACCACAAACAGTGCAACGGTTGCATCAGAGGTTTACTCTGCTGTAATTTATAACGGCTTTCCTTCCAAGAGATTAGCTAGGAGAAAGTTGCTGAGAAGGTCTCACTGAAGCTAATTATCCCCTGCTGAAGCACTCTTCTAACCTTGGCATCTGATCCGGACACACAAAATCCCTGACCCTGTGAAGCTGTATGCTCATTTTGTTCAGTGACACGAGTGGGCAGCTCAGTGAGCGCTGTCAGCTGCGCTGATGTTTCTTTCATGAGCCAATGTTTTTATGGCTGAAAAGTCTCAAATCCACAATGAAGTTACCAAGTGTCAACTGGATGGAGCTCAAGCTTTTAATAAGGCACAAACTACTTGTGGGCTGACCTGCTTTTGAGTGCCAAATGTTTCAGATCCAGTCTAATGCCCAGTAATTTGAGGGCAGAAATGCCTTTAAAGGAATGATCTGTTACTCTGCGGTCCACCCCCGTGAGCAACAGCACTAACCAAATACTTCAGAGGCATACAGAATTACAGCATCATAGCAAATATTAAAACCAGATTATTTTTTTTTTTTGCTAATCAATCCAAAGAAAGTCCCTTGTGGGGTTAAGAGAGAAAAACTTTTAAACAAAAACATCTCACTACAAAATAAGGCAGTTACCTTGAAGCTGGAATTAATGGAAGTTGCAGGTGTTTCTGTTCTCTGCAGCAGAAATATAGACGCCCAACAACCATCCTTGAAGTTTTCCAGCATAAACAAAGATCATACCTCTCCAAATAGCCCACTAAGCTGAAAAACACCACACTGAGTTTTTGCTTAATTTAAGCTTAACAGCGGGGACTGAACGACACTTTAAAAATTGACAGTAATACACCTGCAAACTATTAGGCTAGAGCAATCGTGCATTTGATTTATTGACACCAAAAAATGAGAACAATAAAATACCAGCAGCCTCCTAAAAACACACAAACCAACAACCAAGCTTTTACTGCAGCTGACTAAATAGATGCAGCCGATTTGGGCAGCTTGTGGTAACATCTATCACTGAAGTACAGACGCTGCAAACACGTACAGTGGTGAGCATGCAGAATATTAAACATGCATTTCAAAGGCGTGTTTACCTAGCCACGCTGGCACATCACCTACTATGGATTAACGAAGCCTAAAGCCAATTTCTTTCACCTGGAGTGCTAGCCCTCTTATTTTTTCTCTTTCTGCTGCAGCCTATGGCAGAGCAGCCATTCTGCCTGCTGGATAAATCACAAGAGGGCTGTGCTTGCTGCTCGTCCCACTCTGGTCCTCTCCCACCTCTCCCCTGCTTGGAGGGAGCTACAGATTACTGCCTGGGACACAGCAAATCATAATTAGCACACACGGTGCTGTTTATAGCTTCTGCACAATGCCAGGATTTGTTTCTTGTGCTGAAGCTATGAATCTGTAAATGGGATTTTTATGAGGATTTATGTGTCATCTTGTGTTTTTCCTGGAAGATTCTGCCTCTGCCGTTCCCGGGGGACGCAATGCGTGTTTACCAGAAAACTGACACACCAACTTCCTTCCCCATTCTTAAAAAAAATAAAGATCAGGAAAAGCTCAGCAGACGACGAAAAAGGAACACATTAAAGAAGCAGGTGGGTGTAAAGAGGGGGTTGGAAAAGAGGAAGAGAGGTTGTGATACAGCTGGTGCCAGGGCTCTGCTCCAAGCAGGCCTACGATCTATTGCGGTTTGGTGAGACCCGAGCTTGCAGCGGACACCCATGCTGGCAGGGCTGCCAGCCTCAACCAGGGCTGCCCTTCTCGTCCTTCCCATTTTCCTTTGCCTTCCCCTCCCCAGCTGCTCCAGGACAGCAGGCCTGGCACCAGGCTGAGCTTGGCTTTGCCTCTGCTGTCACCTGTCAGCTCGATGGAAGCCCGCCTGAGCTGCTGCTCCCCCAGAGCTGAGTCACTGGTGTTAAGCTCATGATTTATGTCCCAGCATCATCGCCTCGAACAAGGTTAACCAGGATCGATTTAGGGTGAGCTTCCCATGACGTGGATTTGGAGAGCAAAACTGCCTGCAGACAGACAGCCCTGGTGCAGTGCACAGAGGGAAGGGATGTTACGAGCTGTGCCGTCTGCAATATCACCATTATACCAGTAGCTTTTTTTGTTGTTGTTTTTTAAATGGCCTACTATAACCAGCTAGGACATAAAGCTTCCCAAAGGCAGCCCGACAGCAAATGGATTTTTCAGTGGCAGCACCAGACAGAGCCCCAAAACCCATCCAAGACAGCAGGCAAGAGAGGTGCCACCCATGCAGAGCTGCAGAGATATGTTTGTCCCTGGTAATAGAAAGGCATTAGTGAGGAGGTAGAATAAGCCTTTGGAAGATGCTGTATTTCCACCCAAATTAAGATGAAACAGCCTTAAGCCAAGGCTTTTTTTTTTTTTTTTTTTAACCGTAATGCAGGCACGACTTCAGCATACTGCAATATTCTGTAATGAGATTACAGTCTTCCTTCCTATAACTTCTCCCTCAAGCTACATCACTTCAGAATAGCAAATTATTATACTGTTTTACACTGTGACAGAGAGCCCCAGGACCAGTGACTGGCAGCACAGCTAATGGATATAGCAGGGATGCATTTGACTGACAGCCTAACTTTATTTGTCAAAACCAAAAGCACCCACATGCCGAAGGAAGGTTGATATAATGTGAAGGTGCCAATGGAAAAAGAAAAAAAAAAAAAAGAGCATTTTTTGGAAGGAAAGAGAGAAACTAGGGCAGGTAAATGAATGAAGAGGACCCTGTCCATCTCTGCTGAGGCAGAGTGTCAGAGGACAGTACATTTGCATTGTCACATATCTATATGTATATACATGCATGAGATGTGAGAAGGAAAAGAAATGCTGAATGCAAGTAGTGTCTTGTCTGGAGCACAAAGCTGACAAGAGTAACATCAGTGAATGTGCTAATGCAGCTCTCCTCACCAGCAGCTGCCAGGGAAGGGAGAACAAACAATTACCTAATGCCTGGCAGGACTGTCGGGGCAGATTCCTATCAAATGTGAAGCAGTACGTTGGGAAGTAGACTCGGACAGCAAAGCACCAAATTCACATTACTTTCCCCCTTCTAATTAAGGCAAGAGGTAGTAATCAGCTCTGCTAGATTGTTCTCCTATTATTCTACTCTTCTCTTCAGAACAATGAAGCTGAACAATGCGAACTCTGCTACGACTTGGCCAAAAAAGCAGAGCATTTCACAAGTCCAGCAAAACTCAAGCTCTGTCAGCAGTATGGTTTATCAATACAGGATTCTCTCATATTATTTATATTCAGCTCCAAACAGGCGATAAATCAGAGTGGGAAGAGACAGCTGAATGACACTGATCTAAATATCAATGCTGTGAAAAGGAGACAGGTAAGAGAATGAAGAAGAAATCCAATAGTTGGTCATGAAGGGATCATTCCAAACAAACAGGTGCATTTACATAAACAAGCATCATACAAACACACAGCTGCACAGGGAGACTGCCTATTATATTTGTATGCTGCCTAGCCCACAAAGAACACATTCACCCAACAACGCTCGTGTCAGAAAGTCCTGAAAGCCAGCCCTTGAGCAGTTGCATTTATATCTCCTTCAGAGAACAGTCACACGCATACACAGCAATCACCGTAAGTGACACAACAGCAATTGATCTATTTCATGAAATATACTAACTACAAAACTACCATCTTTTGCTACAGACCTGCAAACGTTACTATTTCTGTTAGGGTAGGAACTGGACTGCTGTCTCAAACAAATCTGTTGTTCAGACTTCTGTAAGGTGCTTTACTGCTTTCAAAACATAGAGTAGTGAATCAAACCAAATGAGGTGCTGAAGACTTCCATTAATGTGCTGTATTGACATGATTGCTTCCATTATTTACTTTTGAACTTCAATCGAATTTTTGAATTGGGATTTTTTAAAGTTACCTTAGCTGGATCCTTTTGATAGAAGTTGTGGGATAGGCTACACTTCTTTTGGCTTAAGTCACTTACAGGGATTAAAAAATAAACAGTGACAGTAACAACAGAAGTACAAAAATCATGCAAGACTTTTTCCCTAGAGCTCAACATCATGAGGCCCATCAGGCAAATGTAAATTCATGGGCAGAAGGTGCAAATGAGGCACGTTTCCTGGGGATCATTAACCTCTTTTTGCAATGGAGGGGATCTTACCAATGAGTAGAAGAGCACAAATGAATTGGTGGCTGTTATAAGGAACTGGGGACAAAAGTTATCTGTATAAGCTCTGACATTGCCCGTAGATCCACAAGTCAAGTTTTACTCTCTTTTTACCCAACTGGATATCCAACAGCGTTTGCAAAGAACACGAAGGCTCCTCACTACCATAAGGTGCTTTTTCTGAATACTTGGGCCCAGCATACTTGAGCAGGAGTGCTTAGTCCCATGTCGTCCCACCCAGAATACACAGCAAGCTCTCTGCCAGATCTTGCTTTCCACCCTTTCCCTCCCAGCCAAGTATTACTGACGGCAGATAAAGAAAGCAAAAAAAAACAAAACCAAACCAACCAAACCAATATACAAGCAAGCTAGTGGAAAAGGCAGTCTGAGTGTAAATGCAAAGCCAGTGCCTACCTGATTTTGGAATTACAGGTCATTTCATTCTCAGGGTAGTGAATATCCACTGCATCCTGAATGACTGTACCATATTCATAGACTTTAATCTTCTTTGTCACCCCAGCGATGGCAAAGTAGTCACAGTCCCGGTCAAACTCAATACTAGGAAAGAAAAAGCACAGACTGAGAATCACATGACACATATTCAGATAATAAAATACCTTGCTGGTAAGTACATTTCAGTACGGCAGAGCAGGTAATAAGCCTTCTTAAGACTGCAGTTAGCAAATATAATGCACAGAGCACCATATAAGGTGTGGTACCAACCACAGAGTTCTTGCTCTCAAGCACCATTTTCTAATCATCCCCTCCAAGCACATCCACTTTTCGTTCTACAAAATGAACTTCTGTTCAGAAGCTCTGAAGGTTTTTCAGTTGAACTACACCAGCTACGTTACAAGGTACCCAAACATCACAGCTGACGGCTCACCCAGGAAACTTGCTTTACATTCAGCGGCACGGTCTACAAACAAGATGCTACAGGATGCCTGCCCATTGATTTATTTTGGATGCACTGCTCCATCCTTCAGCAATTCTGTACAGCAGCTTGGTGAACTCTATGTATTAATGCAGAGCAAATCAGAACGTCTGGAAAAGGCCCTCTAAATTCCTTAAGCAACAACAGAGGGTTGAGATGTATATCAATACTGTAAAACACACACATGCTATGACTTCTACTTAGGGTTGCTCTTGGAAACAGAGGCACTTATTTTCTTGAACTGCAGGGCAAGTTTGTAATAGATATCAACAAAGCAGCAAGTAAAAGCAGTCACCTTATAACAAAGTTAAGCTGCAAATGAGAAAAGCCTGCGGTTGTACATGACATACGTCTGAGGGAAAGGCAGGCAACAGGGTATACACAGCTCAATTCACTGCTATTTCCACTGTTTGGAAGGGCTTGAAAGAAACATATTTAACATCTAGTAGCCAGAAAAGTAAATCTCCTTTCTAGAAATAGCTTCTTACCAGCCTGTAGCCCAAGTTGCACAAGGTGTGGCAGGAGAGATGTGTGCAGGCACCTAACTAGTTTCAGGAGCATCACTGTCAGAGAGATTAAAATTTGGTGCTACTCCTAGAAAGAAGGTTGAAGTAGCATCTACTCTCAGTGTCTATGTTGCTATGACGAGTCACCAGCTCTTCTCAAGACTCCCACCTGAGCAATCTTCCATTGCTTGCCATTCAATAATTAATTTCAATCTCCACTGTCCGTATCAGAATCTCTTAAGAAGCATTTGTGAACCAGACAGCACATTCTTACTGACAGCAGAGAACACCTAGTTTAAGCTGAGCAGATTTCACACTCACACAGTCTGAAAAATCCTGAGCAGGAGTACTTATGGTACCTTTCTACAGTCAGAAAGTGACAAACCAATTATAAGAGAAGAGGGCTCTTCAGGCAGCACTCACAGCTGCCACAGCTCGCGTTTCTTACCCCTTGCCACAGCTGAGCAGTTGAAGGCACTGCACTGCTTTCAAGGGAAGAGAACTTCAAATGCCAACAGAGTTTTCAAATCCTTGTAGAGGAGAGATATCATCAAGTTATTTTTAAACTATGGAGACGAAGGACTTTTGATATGCTGCCTGACGATATGCAGTAATTCAATGAAGCAGCTCGTAACTTGGCCTTTTAGCTCAGGTGCCTAAAAGTCCCCAAAGCAGTGCAGGAGACAGTTCCTCCACCACTGCTCGATTGCTACAGGAGAGATAGAGTGAGTCAGGCCGAGCCTGCCAAATCACAGTCCCAAAGAAAGGCAAAGAAAAGGAACGTGCTTATGACTGGGGAATAAGGGAATAAAGTGGATGCGCACGCATCTATTTATATAAAATGGGAGAGAGAAAGCAAGCAGTAAAGCAGCCAGGCTGCTTCTCTCCTCCCCAGACGTCCCCAAGCCTCACCTCCTTCTAAATAGCCAGAACAAAAGCATCGTTCCAGACTTGTCTTGTCAGCTCACTCTGCTCTATGTGAGAATTGTATAATCGAAAGCACACCTAACAAAAGAAAGGATTTACTTGTACCACCGTCTTAATTGAACTGCAGTCTCAGCTCCTGCTTGCTGCCCCGTGGATTCAGGTAGAGCACAACTAAACTGATGGCAGCAATTCATCTGCCTGGACTCAATTTATACCTTCAGCCTTCTGCTACTGCAGAAAAAATAATTTATTACAATGTCTGGTGAAAAGCCAAGTTACTGGAATAGAACACTGTCTCACCTCGGGTAGTTTCCTTCTCTAGCATTAGTTCTATTTTTTTTATTAAAAGATATACCATAGACATAATAAATGAGCATTTCAATATGTCTGTAAAAGTTAGCATACCACTAAAAAAAATAATAAAAAGCATCAACCACCAAAACAGATTGTGAGACCTGCGACCTTCAAACAGCATCAAAGACACTGCAGGGAGAAAACTGATGCAGAAATGAAGCACCACCTGCACAGATGTGTTTGGTGGTTATGAGGAAGGCAGGCAAAGCCAAAACAGCAAAGCCAGCAGCATCTCATCCTGCCCTCCATAACATACACGCAGTGCTGGCAGAAAAAGCATCCCAGCTTTCTGACAATCAGATTTTCCTAAGCGACTGGAAAAGAAAAATATCAACAATCTAAGTAACTAATGGAGCAGATTATTCACTATGCAAAATTACTGCTAATATTTGCAGAGCTCTGTTTCCCCCCTCACTGATCAGGATTAGGACAAACAGCCCCATTTGCACAGCAGCAGCCATTGCCACACTTTTTCCTACAAGTCTTCTAAACATGTTTAGTATTAAGCAAGGCTCATTTGCACTTAACTAGCTCACTGGTATTCCTGTCACTTACCGTCTCAAATCTTTTTGTTTCAATATAAGCTGTGCCTTATGCGCATGTTTATCTTTATGAAAATTCACAGGAGAACTCAGTTTTACATATTGCCAAAAGACACAATGGGGCTAGCTCTGAAAAACAACAGCCTGCTTTTCAGGTGACACGTTTCTATAGGCAAATTTACATAAATAAATCAAGTTTTAGCCATTAGTACAACAATAACAAGCAATCGGGTAATAGGAAATAACCGTCATTTTTGTCAAAAAAGGCCATCACTCAGCAAAGCAAGCAGCCAGAGCACAGCACATGCAGCAGTTAGCATCTGCTTCATGTGCAGCAAGAGGCCACCAGCAAGCCAACACAAGGCAGGAAGCGCTCGTGTGCTGGATGTTAATGTCCTTCTGAAAGAAGAGCCGAGGGTTTTGGCAGTGCTGTTATAACTAGACCTAACGTGGGACCAACAATGAACGTTTCAGTGGAGTGCTGGGGAGGGCTGAGGGAACAGCAGTCTCAGCCCTAGCTGGAAGCAACCACCTCCAGGGATGGGAGACTGTCTAGATTGACAGCATCAGAAGTAGCCCCATGCTGGTCAAAAAGATGGCTACTTACTGCTCTGCATGCTTAATCTAACATGCAACTGCCTGAAAAAGAAGCAAGGAAGCATGAGATGTCACAGCAGAGCACGAGGAATGAGAAGAAGACACAGGTGATTTCACTAGTGTGGTTTTTATCATTATTTTCTATACTTGAGGAAGCAGCAGTGGAGGTAAGCCACATTTAGAGCATCTCAAAGAGGAACACATCCAGTGAAGTTCCCTTTTGGACTGGCAGTGATCCTTGCTGCTCACATTTGTGCACATTAGGAATCGTTAACAGTTGTTTTTTCTCCCCCACTTAGAACAGCACTTTTAAAACTCCTTATTTCCAACAGAGGCAACTATCCGAGTTTTTGTAAGGAATCTTCTGGGGATGCAAGAACTCCTGGGTTTTTCAAAAAATGATTTATCAATGTGCAAGAGAATTTATGTATAAAAAAAATCAAATTCAGAGTAAGTGATTGCTTTCTTCTAGAGAAAACAGAAGAGATATTTCCAATTCCCAAATCACTGCTTTCTTTCTCCTAAGCTAAGCAACCGGCATCTACTGGAAGTATCACTAACAGTCAGTGGAAAGCAAACGCATTCTCAAGAGTTCTGGTTTCTCTGCTGCTTCTCTTTATTCTCAATCTCTGAGATTATAAATCAACTTCTTCATTTTAATTCTAAAGCCAAACGACCTTGGAGAGCACTTGCAGCTAACAAATGGAATTATGAAATAAATTGCTTCTGAAACACATCTTGGACCTTGGCTTAGTACTGAAGGTAGACCTATGGGGAAAACAGTGAAGAATGAGTATTCCCCATTTTTACTACTGCATAAAGCCTTGCTACATTTGCATCCTGATGGTGCACGTGGTTGTGTTCGCCACATCCCTGGATGATGCACCAGAGTTAGAGAATGCATACAGATGGGCAATTGGAGGGATTAAAGAGATGGAGCAGCTCCCTTACAGGAGGAATGCCAGAAAGGCTGAGGCTTTCGCTTTGGAAACAGAAGGTTGAGGGAAGGGACAAGCAGGGTGTACAAAGCCACAGTGTTTAAGAACAAAGTGACAGCAAAAGTGGTGGTGAACCACTTCATATTAGAAGTGGAAAGCACTTTGCCAGAAGACTGATTTGGAACAGATGAAGAACAGATCTTTGGTTCCCCACACCCCCACTTTAACACTAACACACACACACACACACACACACACACCACCTGATCCTTGCTGCTGCACAGCACGACTGTGCCAAAGGGAACCTGACACTGGTAATGAACACTGTACATATACACACTCCACAATCACCACTACAATCTGAAGTCCTGACTCAGTAACAGAATCTGAGACTGCAGGAGTTGCCATTTCCAGAAAGCATACATCTCAGTCCCTCCCTCCCCATGGGACTATATATAGTTTTCTGACTGAATATACCAAATCCTTTCAATTCCACTTTCTACCTAATATGGTGCTGTTTCTATTTCTACATCTCCAGTTCCACATTCAACAGCAATCTGGAAAATTGCTCTCCAATTTGGGGGGGAAGTTAACTGGTGGGAGGGAAGAAGGAACTGCAGTTTTCGCTTTCAGTCTTTCTCACTTTGCGCTTCCACTCCCCAGAATCCGAAGGATATCCTGTCCCAAATCCTATTGCTTTCAGCCTCCTTGCTTATTTCCGACACCGAAGTCAAGAGATTAGAAATTTAGGTTACGACCC